TTCATCCTTATTTCTGATTAATCCTCAGTTGATTCTCAATCAGTTTTAACTTCCATGTTCCCAGGTACTTAAGTTAATGATCTACTCAGGAGTTCTTGAAAAGAGCCAGGGACCCCATCATTTGGATCCTTTTGTAAAACAAGCAGTCTCTTTAGAAATTTGAAGACTTTTTTTTTTCTGTATTTTGACTAATCACCCCTAAGATACCAGGTTTAGAAGTTCAGATTTCTATTCAAGCATGTGTTTTTGAAACTGAGCACTCTTTTATAGCTTATTATTGAAAAAAAGTCACAAATAGCATAAGCAACTCATTTTTCGAAATAAGTAGTTCATGTCTTTTTTTTTTTTACATCTTTATTGGAGTATAATTGCTTTACAAGGTGTGTTAGTTTCTGCTTTATAACAAAGTGAATCAGCCATGCGTATACATGTATCCCCATATCTCCTCCCTCTTGCGTCTCCCTCCCACCCTCCCTATCCCACCCCTCCAGGTGGTCACAAAGCACCAAGCTGATCTCCCTGGGCCATGTGGCTGCTTCCCACTAGCTATCTACCTTATGTTTGGTAGTGTATATAGGTCATGCCACTCTCTCGCTTTGTCACAGCTTACCCTTCCCCCTCCCCGTATCTTCAAGTCCATTCTCTAGTAGGTCTGTGTCTTTATTCCTGTCTTACCCCTAGGTTCTTCAGAACCATCTTTCTTTTTTTTAGATTCCATACATATGTGTTAGCGTACGGTAATTGTTTTTCTGTTTCTGACTTACTTCACTCTGTATGACAGACTCTAGGTCCATCCACCTCGCTACAAATAACTCAATTTCGTTTCCTTTTATGGCTGAGTAATATTCCATTGTATACATGTGCCACATCTTCTTTATCGATTCAACATTTTTTTTTAAGAACAGAGAAGGAAAGGAAGGGAGAGAGGGAGGGAGGAAGGAAGGAAAGGACGAAGGAAGTGGGGGAGGGAGGAAGGATGGAAACTTCCTAAGGAAGTCCAGTAGAAATGGTTCAGAGGAAACGACAAATTCAGATTCCAATACTCTCCCGCTCT